GTGGAGACATGTGCTTAAATGGGCAATAATGTCCTGGATTTAATCTGTGGTGAGAGCCATAACAGAGGCAGCCGAGCTGGAGGTGGCAGACGGCACACTGGTTGAACAAGTGGGAGCAACGGTGGAGGAGACATGCGGGGAAGAAGAAGATTGTAACCCAACAGGCTTTAGTGAAGACCCACACTGTTGGGCTTTAGTGGTGGCAGATGGGCTAGATGTGCCTTTGGATTTAGACCAATAGCCAGGTGGGTACCCATGTAGTTTATAACATTGGACCACTATATGGCCCAAAAGCCCACAGTGGGTACACGTGGGCCTTCTTCTTCCTCCCTGTGTTAGGGCAACATTGGCAGATTCCATCGCGCCGTTGAATGTCTCTGTTCCAATGGCGTTTCTGACAACCCAATGTCTCTCCTCTTGAATCACAAGACTGAAAACTTTCGAGATGGAAGGAGGTGTTTCCATCATGAGGATTTGACTCCGTATGGACGTGTAAGAATCCTTGAGTCCCATTAAGAAGAGCATGACGAATTCCTGCTCCATATAATCATTCCAGGCTTTCATTCCTCCACAACAGCATACTGGAGTGGGCTGGCAAGTTTTAAGTTCGTCCCACAACATTTTCATTCTCGTATAGTAGCTATTAACATTGAGAGCCCCTTGCATTGAGCTGTTCATCATTTGTTTCAGCTGAAAAATGCGAGGGGTGTTGGTTTGTTGGAACCGGTCATGGAAGTCGACCCACACTGCCCGCGCGCTATCAAGGTAGAGGAGACTGTCTACTATATCTTTTGCCATGGCGTTGAGAAGCCAGGAGAGAACCATGTTGTTGCAGCGGAACAACGCCCCTGCCATAGGATTTGTCTCAGCAGGTTGAGCAATAGATCCATCCACGAAGCCAAATTTATTTTTGGAATTCAAAGTGATGCACATCGTGCGCGACCAAGTGTTGTAATTGTTCCCATTCAAAGCGTGAGAAACCAACGTAAGCCCAAGATGATCTGAGCTATGAAGAAAAAATTGGTTATGGGTTTCATCTGAATGGGTGTTTTGTGAGGTTTGGGTAGTCTATGAATTTTGGTTTGAAGATGCCGCCAACGGCTGAAATTGATTCTGTGATGAGGAGCCACCACCACCTCTGGCCATAGTAGCTTAATGAGGTGCAGCGGAAATGGTAGGAGCTTATAGCTCTGATACCATATTAGAAAAAGAAATAAACAATGAATTAAGAGAAGAAATATTCTCTTGATTTATTGTATATTGATATTTGAATGTACACTATTTATATACAAAGTAAAGGGCTAAACTAGGAAATTTAAATGTAGTTGGTTATAACAGAAAAATGATAACAAAA